GGGGTGGCTAGTAGTAGTAGTAGTACCTGTACTAGTACTAGTACTAGTACTAGTACTAGTACTAGTACTACTAGTAGTAGCAGCATCATTAGCAGTAGCAGGACAAGGAGCAGTAGAAGCAGAAGTAGAAGTCGTAGTAGTCGTAATAGTAGTAGTAGTAGTAGCAGCAGCAGCAGTAGTCGTAGTAGTAGACTAGTAGTAGACGAGTAGTAGTAGTAGTAGTAGTAGTAGTAGTAGTAGTAGACAGTAGTAGTAGTAGTAGTAGTAGTAGTAGTAGTTGTAGTCGTCGTCGTCGTCGTCGTCGTAGTAGTAGTAGTACTAGTACTAGTACTACTAGTACTTGCAGTAGCAGTGGCAGTAGCAGTACAAGTAGCAGTAGAAGCAGAAGTAGAAGTCGTAGGTCGTAGTAGTAGTAGTCGTCGTCGTGGTGGTGGTGGTACTTGTGCTACTATTTTATTCTGAGTAGTTGTTGTTGTTGGATGTTAGGAGCTGTGGCTCGGCAGCAGTAGCGGCAGTAGTAGCGGCAGTAGCTGTAAGCCTGTAGGAGTAGAAGTAGGAAGACGAGGAGTACAATAAGTTGAAGTGGAAGTGGAAGCAGAAGCATAAGTGGACATCGGTTCATGAGGAGAAGCAGAAAGAGCAGCATAAGTATTGGGGGATAGGCAGAGTATTGCTGTTACAGCACTGCCGAAAGCACTGCCATGTCGCGCTGTTAGAGCCTTCGGTTTGTAAAAGAGGAGTAAGTAGGAGTAACTCAAGATGCCTTTGTTCTGCATGAGACCGAGGAAGCTGGTGCATCGCAGGAATTTAGAGTCTGGCTTATGGGCGTTGTTGTGTCTGTGAGTTTCGCGCTGAAATTAAGGCGCATGGAGTATTTGTGGAGTTCAAGTTCAGTTTGTGGGGGCGGGGAGGGGTTGGCTTTCGGGTTCAGAGTTTGGGCTTTGAGCTTCTGCACTGCATTGTCTCCCCGAGCCCCTTCAGGGCGTGAATTGGCCGCCGAGAATGCCTGGGCCACCGAACGAAAGCCGGAGGACTGGGTGCCATCAAGCATTACCATGCACATGCTCGGCAGTGGCCAGGTGAGTGTGTAATTGTACTTTATAAAGTAGAAATTATGGAAAAATTATCTGTGCTATCTACAGACAATATAGATGTAGCTGGCAATGATTGTTTGCGGCTTGCAGTCTGCTCAAGCACTTTGCAGAAGTCCTTGAGATTCAGGATCGGTCCATATAACCCCAACGTGTGGAGAAACCAACTCTGGCCGAAGTTCGCCTGAGCGCAGCCACTAGTATTATCAGAATGTTTGAACCCCGTAGCTTGTTTCGTCCAGGTCCGTCCTGTACAGTGTTGCATCACGAGTCACTAGGCATGCCCGAGCACGATTATTTCCATTGGACAAGCACAATGGGCCCTGCAAGCTCAGGAACCCCAACAAGCAAGCCTTTTCGGTGGTTTCATCTGGCATGATAGACCCTAAGTTGATCCAGGACCGTTGCGATCTTAGCGATGAGGAGGACCTCATGCTGGAACAAGCGGACGACGAGGACCCATGCATTCCGGCCTTTGAGGCCGGCATAAGTCGTGGAGGAGCGGTGTTGTGGACTTCGATAGCTACAGCAAGCGGGATTAAATGCAAATACCGCCTGGCAACTTGCGGTTGTGCCTCAGCTGTCGTAGTTTTGGATCGCCCACTCACTCGCAGCCCACTTTATATGGACCACATTAATTGTCAACCAGCCAGCATTTCCGACAGGCGACCTTCCCAACTGTTCAGCTAACAGTACAGCTCGCGAGATGTAGCTGCAAAAACAGGGAGACACTCTTGAATTCTTAAGCCCAAGAACTTTGATCTCGGATGTGTGCCTTCCGGCGTAGTTAAACGTAACCCTAAGCCCTAAACCGAGGCTTAAACAAACCCTAATACTACATGATGCTTTGTCCCATGTACTGTTATGGGGGATACTTCCCTAAACCATAATAGCAATNNATATACGTACATAGGACCCTTTGGGAGTCCACAAGGACTATTCCTCCGACCTCGCGGGCTTGAATGCACAGATCCGGACTGCACTGGCGCAGCTGGATGAGGAGACTTGGTCCATGCGTATGCCCCTACAGGGTACTATATGGCTCTAAAAATAGGCTTCCCTTTAAGGTTACTGTGGTTCTATAATATGGGTTCCCTTGAATTTAGGGCGGAATTCGGAAACTGCGAGGTAATCGGTTTTGGCTTTTTCAGTTTTTGGTGAGCTGTTACTGACAGCGCTATAGCTTTCATGCATATAGCGCTCCTGTCGAAGTCGTCATGTTCCACG